TCCCCCCCCCCATCTACATATGACTGTCCTCAGCAATGTTCTCAGTTGTGTAGACACATGCCTCATAAACGCTGAATCAACAGAACCATGCCTTAGACTATAAACACCTCTCTTCTTGCACGCGGCTAAGGAAGGTTTTTCTGTCGCTTCTTGAAGTTTGGAAGCACAGTCAGAAGTTTGTCCCCTCCAGTTCTACTTCTTCTCCTAGTGTCTCGTGCTCCCAGGGAGTGGTTTCCTCAATGGGAATAGACATCCACAGATTTTTATTCATCCAGTGATGACGCAATTTTACATGTTTTTTTTAATTTTTTGGAGAAATGCCAGTATTTCTTTGACTCCTTCTAGAGCTTTGAGGATGAAATTGTTCTGATGTAGCCAGGATGAGATTTTTGTTTTGTGAAAGAAACAGATCTTTGTTATTGCTATTGTTAGTGAAAATGCATGCCATGTTTCTGCAGTTGCGTTTATATTGGAAAGTTTATGCAGTTTCTGGTCTGACTTCCCGCCATGTTTGTTCTGTGTGTGTGTACATGTTTGTGTTCTCTGTGTTATTATTGTTACTATTATTATTATTGTTTTTGTTATTATTGTTACTATTATTATTATTGTTAAGATTCAAGTGAAGAGAGCATGTATTGTAGCGTCGACGTCCATCAGCACAGGGAGAGCTGTAACTGTCGCAGACCTGTCATCTGTAACTGTCGCAGACCTGTCGTCTGTAACTGTCCCAGACCTGTCGTCTGTAACTGTCGCGGATGTGTGGTCTGTAACTGTGGACTGTAACTGTCGCGGATGTGTCGTCTGTAACTGTCGGGGATGTGTCGTGTGTCAGTCTGTTGTGTAAATAGCTCCCAGTATTCTATCACTACTTGTCTTTTCCACTGCCAGGCTGTGAACTTTGAACTTGTGTGAACTTTGAACTTGTGTGAACTTTGAACTTTCCTCCAGTGAAGACTTCCAGGAAGACATCCGTGAAGTGCGGCAATAGTCACGAGTCTCAGGTCAAGGAACTACTGTCGGAATTGTCCACGAGGGTGTGTGTGTGTGTGTGTGTGTGTGTGTGTGTGTGTGTGTGTGTGTGTGAGAGAGAGTTTTGTGCAGGGTGACACTTTTGCGTGTGTGTAGGGGCGTGTCTCTCTTCCTGACTCCCGTGGAGATTCAACAGTTTTCAAATTTGTAGATTTTTAACCGATGCCGATTTTTAAAAGTCTATCTTGTCTTTTACCATGAATTGTGCAAACCCATTCCATAAATTTTATGTTTTTATGTCCGTAGTCACTTGCCATTTGAACATGACCTCATCTGAGAACTTTACTCAAATTACAGAATTTTTCCAGAAAAAGATTTTTGATGAAATTGGAACTGACTCGAGTTCCCTGTACAACTACTACTATGTGTCTACTTGACTACCATGTGTCTACTTGACTACCATGTGTCTACTTGACTACCATGTGTCTACTTGACTACTATTTACAACTACTACTTGACTACTATGTGTCTTTCATTTTGTCGTTTTATTTGGGGTCATGTGGGGTCACGCTTTTCAATTATTTTTTTGAGAAAACTTGAAGAGAAGGGAAAGGAAACTTTCCCCCGCTACTTTTATATATGACCTAATTGTGTTGCAGCTGCTGCAAAACTTTTACTAAAACAACTTTTCGTTTCACTTTGGATTTTTACCCGTTCACTTGTGTGTTTACCTGTCAAATGTAACATTTGTATGAAGTTACACTTAGGAAAGTCTGTATTGAACTACCCCGTTGCGGGATGGAAAGATCTTTCTCAGAGAGATTTCCATTGTTCTATTTCTGCACGTGTCCCGTTTGTGAGGACTTTGTGTCCAGTGCCAGTTGATCGCGAGGACGGAAGTCCTAGTTCTTGTCTTCTTGGTCAGATGGTTGTTGGTGAGGACGGTGCAGTGGATGGTTGGCGGGTGCTCTGGTGTGGTCTGCTCCTTCTTTCTCATCAAACATCTATCATCATTATCTCTCCTCCTTCTTTCTTATCAAACATCTATCATCATTATCTCTCCTCCTTCTTTCTTATCAAACATCTATCATCATTATCTCTCCTCCTTTTTTTCTCTTTCTGTTACTCTCCAGCAACACCTTGAATTTATGACCAAATTGTGTTGCAAGTGCTGTGAAACTTATGAAAGCTAAAAAACAAAAAAAAAAGAAGAAGAAAAACGACTGTTGCAGGAATACAAGGTACAGAGATTGGATTGTCGCCGTCGCTCTTCATTACACTGACACAATGATATTTATCACCTCTTGTAGTTTGAAATGTGACTTTGTGTTTTGAATTGTTGTGTTTTGAAATGTTCTCCAATGATAGATTGTGCTGTGCTGTACATAGAGGTGTTGTAGAGATACGTGTTTTTACAGTGGCATGTTGTAGATACGTGTTTTTACAGTGACACATTGTTGCGTGCACAGCGACGTGCCCCCCTTCCTCACACAGACGGAGAGCCAATAAAAAGCTTTCTCTCAACCCACGGGTGTCTTTGGTTGTGTGTGTCTGGTGGTGGGTGGTTGGTGAGTGGTTGGTGGGTGCTCTGGGTCAGTTTGCTCCTTCTTTCCCATCAATCGTCTATCGTCCTTACCTCCCCCGTCTCTTGTCCTTATCTCCCCCGTCTCTTGTCCTTATTCTACTATCTAGTAACACCTTTAGCCTATGGTACTTGTACGACCAATTTGTGTTGCAAGTGCCGTAATACTCTACGGTAGGCTACTTATTCTAAAGTGTTTTTGTTGTGGCAGGAAGACAGTGTCTGTTGTGTAGAGGTGTGGTGTAGCGCTGTGTAAACTGTGTCAGTGAGGCTGTAAACTGTCAGTGAGGCTGTAAAAACACTGACATTGAAGAGAGAAGAAAGAGGAACACTGACATGTACAAGGAGAAGGATTTCATTTTAGAGTGCAGTGTTTTCACAAGAATTTTGACTTCCACAAGTGTTTAATGTAGCTCTATACAACACATCTTGAACAATACAAGCCAGAACACAAGCTACAACACATCTTGAACAATACAAGCTACAACACATCTTGAACAATACAAGCTACAACACATCTTGAACAATACAAGCCAGAACACAAGCTACAACACATCTTGAACAATGTGAGCCAGAACACAAGCCTTTGTCAACAGAACGAAACATTTTCTCCAATCAATCTTGGCACATTCTGGGTAAAACAGAAACAAGTAGGCCTATATTTCTGCGTCATTCGTTAAATTCAATAATGTATAATGATATTTGTAGCAACAGAAAGCACAGTCATATTAGCGACATAGTGGGCGAGTGTCAAACAGATACACGCAGGCCCCTATGTGTTGTAGTTTGGAGCAGCAAAGAACAGCAAAAGAAAATCACCAAATTGTGATGCATGTGAAAAAAGCAAACCATTGAACAGCGTGCATCACTTTGAAATAATGGCATTATGGACACCGTCACCTAGAAATAATCAAATGTTTTCTGGATTATAAATAATATCAAGCAAAAATAGAGACAGGAAGGGAAATGTGAAGGGGGGAGGGGGGGAGAGAGAGAGTGGGAATGAAAAAGAGAGAGAAGGACAAACAGCGTGACAAGCCAGTCACACGATAGTACAGAACTTTGCCTTGGTCACAAGATGGTACAGAACTTTGCCTTAGTCACAAGATGGTAACAAGATAGTACAGAACTTTGCCTTGGTCACAAGATAGTACAGAACTTTGCCTTGGTCACAAGATAGTACAGAACTTTGCCTTGGTCACAAGATAGTACAGAACTTTGCCTTGGTCACAAGATAGTACAGAACTTTGCCTTGGTCACAAGATAGTACAGAACTTTGCCTTGGTCACAAGATGGTCACAAGATAGTACAGAACTTTGCCTTGGTCACAAGATGGTCACAAGATAGTACAGAACTTTGCCTTCTTCCCCGCCCTCTTCCAGTTGTCTTGCACCTCTTTCTGTTTCTCCTCGATCGCTTCCACGACAGACCCGTGGCCCAACTCCTCGGCTATCTCGTACGCCGTCTTGCCTGGGGACGCACACACAAACGCACACACGATATGAGTTGTTGAACAATGACATCATGATATAAAATAATGTATATATAATATGTGTCAAGACGGGGTGGAATCTCCGTTTTTCACACCAAATTCACACGCAGATGTGTTTTTTTATAGATGGGGACAAAACGTGTGGAACCCAAACAAATTATTTTTTTTACTAAAATTGCCAAACTGTAGGAAAACTGCCCGTTTCTTCCATGAAATGATTTTGACGAGCGCCCGACTTCTCTACAATGCCTCACATATGAAATGTCGTACTTTAATGACACAATATAACATAATTTGATAGAATAGAATACAGACAGTTCAATAAAGTTCACGTCTGTTCTATTCTATTTTATTCTATTCTATTCTCAGCACACATACAGCACTTTATCCACAGCCCTCCCACCACTGCAGCGACCACAGCCCTCCCACAACTGTAGTGACCACAGCCCTCCCACCACTGTAGCGACCACAGCCCTCCCACAACTGTAGTGACCACAGCT